CATGTCTGAATTCCCCTGCGCCTGTAACAAGCTGCCGAGTGGCTCGTGGAGATCATCTGTAGTTCAGTGACTGGTCCTGGAGTTACTGACAGAACAGGTTTAGCGCCACCGTGTGGCCACGACGTGTAAGGTCTCCAATGAAGCTGAGAAGAGTTGTAGGCGTGTCTTCTCGTCGTTTAGATCGGTTGTCATTACAGCAGACTTTAAAAACACTGTTTGAAAAATGTGAGGCAGTTTCAAAGATCCAAAATAAATGAAATACACCAAAAAAAAAAAAAACTGTTCATAGATATTTCGTTTTAAATACAATTTAAATTTAATTAGTAATTCAAATAAATGAAACACAATAAATTAAATGAAATATACCAAATAAATAAAACTTAATTTTTCATGAATGTTTTGTTTTAAATATAATAATTAAAATAAAGGTAATATAATTTATGCATTTAATTAATAATTATATATTATAATATAATTTAAAATAATATATATATATATATATATATATATATATATATATTATATATATAAAAAATAAATTATTATATTAAATATATTATAATTATAGTAATATAATAAATGAAATATAACAAAATGCAACATAAATTAAATATACCAAATAAAAAGACTAAATTGTTCATAAATATTTAAATACATGAAATAATGAATAATTAAAATCAATGAAATACAATAAATGCAAAATAAATGAAATATATAAAATAACCACGGTACAGTAGTTGGTGATTTTCAGTCTTTATAAACTACTTAATATTTCATCTAATTTATCAAAACATATATTATTGGGGGCGTTAATACGTACTGCACTGTAATGTAGGAATGACCAATAGGCTACAGTGCTTATGCTTTGATATGATAAAATCCTGCGTTTCACTTTTATTTTAGAAAATAACCTACTTCCGCTTTTTGCGGAACTTGCTTCCGGTCAGAGCGCGCGTTATCTCTGCCTTCACGCTCGTGTGTCTTGTTATGGTGCGGGCCGCCCAGAGGAAGCCCCTTCAGCCTGCTAGGAGAGCGTCTGTGTTTCAGTCGGACCTGAGCTCGGGACCCAGCAGTTACCCGGGCTGGAGATGGAGATATCCGTGGAGGCGGAAGATGGAGAGCGCAGGTAACGTTAAAAACGAAACACGGCCGTACACAGCAGTCCTGAGTTTTGACAGCCAGACCCTCAGCTTTAGTTTGGGGGATTATTGCGGCTCTAGCACATAGTTTTAGCACCTCATACTTGTGTACATCTCTATTTAAGAACATTTAAATAATATGTAGACACTAACCATCTTGTTTGCTAAGACGGTTCTCGACTGCAGCTTTCATATGGAGCTAGCCGGCTAGTGCATTTGTACATCCTACTATGGCAGCGGTGGCGAACTCCGGTCCTGGAGAGCCGCAGCCCTGCAGAGTTCAGCTCCAACCCTAATTAAAACTCACCTGCCTGTAGCTTTCTAGTAACCCTTCAGACCTTGATTAGCTTGTTCAGGTGTGTTTGATTAGGGTTGAAGCAAAACTCTGCAGGGCTGCGGCTCTCCAGGACCGACGTTCGCCACCCCTGTACTATGGTAAAGACTTCGCTAATGAATATTAATTAGGTCATGGGACGCTTTCCCGTCAAAGCGTATCATCCGATTGGCTGAACTCTATATGTTAATATGTAAGCAGGAGAATCAACCAATAGGAGAGTCGGCGCTCACGGAAGCGTTCAGTGGCTTAATGAATATTCATGAGCTTCTCCCTAGTCGTCTGTTCCAGCAGCAGCGTTCATCCGCAGATCAACACCAGTCTTGCGACGCGCTTTCATTAATTAATTAACAGAAACTCGCGTGATTATGACTCATAGCTGCGCAGTTTTGCGATCTGCTGAAGCCTGGCACATTTAAAGAAGCACACGTTAGCATGCTAGTAGTAGCATTAGTATTTATTATACTTCAGAACTGTATATTTAAATGTAAACTTCATGTCATGTTTTGAGCTCAAGGGAATGTAATGCCCGATTTCAGTATTGTTCGGTAGTAATCTGGATTACATAATCAGATTGCATTCAATTAAGTACTTGTAATCAGATTATATAATGTTTTAAAATGTTCATAATCAGATTACAGTTATTTTTTATGGATTATAAGATTGCATCTTATTCACACAGTGGCAGAAAATTATTCATACCCCAGTTTTTCTTTTTCTTTTACATTTTTCTAGTATATATATATGAGACTAATAAATACACAAGTTCGATGCAAAGCTGTCAAATGCAGTGTCTTCATCATATCCAGGCAGTGACCGTCACTAATTATTAATAGTGAAAGCTTGGACTAAAGTATTTCAAACCTAGAAGACTTGTAATGCAATGTTTTCATGTTTCTTCATGTAATGTAATGTAAACGTCTTTGATAATAGCCTTTGAGATTTCAATAATTTAACAACATTTGCATGCTCATGCTTCTCGGATGTGTTGGTCACATTGACAAATTGTAATAAAAATTTTTTTTTACATTATTTGTCAGTTTGATTTGACATTTTTATGTTAGCGTTTCATCAACACCTTACTGTTTTTGCACAATCCCCAATTTGGGAAGCCCTCATGTAATGTAACGTTTAATGCATTTCATGATCTGGATAACACGGTACACAATAATCCCATTCAAGTCTTTTTTATATATGAGTTGGGTCAAAAGTAGTCGGACTACATAACCTAATATGTGTAATCCAGATTATGTCGCTAACTACAATTTTCATCTTAAGCACGTATTTTTATGTAATTTCATATATACTTCTATTGTCCTTGAAATATGGTTAAAGTACTTCTCAATGTACTGACGAGCATTTGTGGTAATCTAAAATGCTTTAATATAATTTCTCTTGAAACTTATATGTCATGTTTTTCAGTATAGTTTTGATTACACATTTGTAGTAGGGCTGCACAATAAATCGAATGTATAATCGCGATTACAATTACGGATGCCACAATTACGTAATTGTTCAAAGTCCACTTATGTTATTCTGAGTGCTTAAGATGCGTTTTTTTCTTTCTACATGTTATCTTAAGGATTTTTCCATTAGTTTAGTTTTAGTATAACATTATACCATTCATATTTTTACTTTTTTTTTTTAATTTAAAAGAGAAACCAATCAAATGTACAGTTGACATTTGAGGCTTAATACTATAGAAAAGCACTAAAGGTTTTTCAGTTAGAGTGTTTTCAGCTTATTTATCTTCATATAAAAATATGGCATGCAGTTGCTTCAAACAATGGTATAAACATCATTCAATGTAAATTGTGATAATCGTAATTAATAATCGCAATTACAATTTCAAGGGAATAATCGACAATTCAGATTTTTGTCATAATCGTGCAGCCCTAGTTTGTAGCGATGAAGTTACTATTTAGTTGATTTAAAATGTATAAACTTTTTTTGATAATATTGAATTACAGACTACAGTAAAAATTATAATCAAGTACTTTACATGTGCTTTAGTATGCTAGTCGACATATCAAAATAAGTGTACTTCTTTAAAACTTGTTTATGAAAACAATGACTTAAAATGTACTTTAATGTAAAACTTAATTTGACTTAGTGTATAAAGACGCATAGTCATGAAAGTGAATTAATATTATATTATTTTTAAAAAAGTACAGGTTTATATATATATATATATATATAAGTAAAACATTTTAATGTGTATATGTATGTATATATATATATATATATATATATATATATATATATATGTATATGTGTGTAGTATGTGTATGTATGTATATACACATTAAAAATTTTTACTTGTATATATATACTGTATATTTGTGTGTGTTTTAATACTCTAGATTTGAAGTACACTACAAGTTCACATTCAGTACACTTTTTACCCAAAGTGGCACACTATGTATTCTAAATATATTGTAAGAGCAGCTGACACATGTTTTCTTTCAGATGGGAACACTGGAAGCTTCTGTCTAATCTGAAGACGACTGTTGAAGGGCTGCTGTTCACCAACAACCCTAACGTGTGGTCCCGCTATGGGGGTCTTCAGCGCCTGCACAAGGACATGAACAACATCCTGGGCCACAGCCTGAAACACGAGCAGGTGTGGAGGAACAAGATAAGAGTCTCTGGGCGTTTTCATGAAAGCACCTAGAATATCCTGTGGTACCGGCGGGAATATATCCAAAACAACAGCCTGAGTTACCAGGAACTATTAGACACAAATAGGCTCAGTGGCTAATCAGACGAGGAAGAGTGTTTTAAAGTTGTGTTACTTCTTTGTTTTACTTTCTATATCTAATTGGAGATGAGAAATGGCCTCGGTGGCCTTTCCAACAAAGAAAGTATTGTATTAGTTTATAGATTAATCCCAAAACTTTAAAGGCGTCACAAACTGGCTTTTTTATTGTTTTATACTGTTGTCTGAGGCCCACTTATGACGTTTGTGTGATTTTTACATTCAAAAACATCTAAATCAATAAGTAATAGGCTATTTTCTACCCTGGTTTTGAGGCCGGTTTGAGAAACGCTCGGTTTTTATGGGCGAGCCGCATTAGCCGGGTTTCCGTCCAAAGTTGCGAATTTAACTTATACGCAAAACTGGAATATCGCATAAAACATTTGCGAACAAGCATCGTTTCTATCCAACAAGTCAAAGAGCACAAAATCGTCACTTCCTGATAAACTGGCACTATAAATCACTAAGAAAAGTGAGAGAATATAATAATTTTCTTATATAATAAATTACTTTATTAATGCGGTCATTGCTTTCGGAGGTGGATGCTGCTGTTTGGGGAACGCAATTCTGGGAGACGGTTATACAGAAATACTTTGATGACAGACTTTGCTCGTGCATTTCCGAATGACCATAACAACATTTCAGATGCTGTGAATGAGATCGGTCCGCTGGTTACTCAGGTTATGCCGTCCCATAGCGTAAAGTCACATTACTTTTTTGATGCGATTGGAGGAATTTATTCGCAAAATGCGTTTCCATCTCCCATTATTCGCATCAACCCTTTTTCGCACAAGTCAAAAACCACCTCAAGCGAGCGTAAAATAATTTTTTGCGAATTAAGGGATTTCTATTCGAAATTTGGCATTTTCACTTGTTTCTCATGCGATACTTCAAAATGCGCTTTAAAATAGGGTGATGGAAACATAGCTATTGAAGACTTGGAAGTAAACGCCCACTGCTATGATTGGATAACAGTTTTTAATTAATAATTTTTAAATAGTTTACTAATTTTTACCAATGAAATACATTAAAATAAATTTTTTAATTTTTTAATTCAATTATTAAATTTTTTTTGTTTAATTTTTACCTCTGACTTTTTTTTTTTTTTTTTAGCTGGCACTATAAATCACTAAGAAAAGTGAGAGAATATAATAATTTTCTTATATAATAAATTACTTTATTAATGCGGTCATTGCTTTCGGAGGTGGATGCTGCTGTTTGGGGAACGCAATTCTGGGAGACGGTTATACAGAAATACTTTGATGACAGACTTTGCTCGTGCATTTCCGAATGACCATAACAACATTTCAGATGCTGTGAATGAGATCGGTCCGCTGGTTACTCAGGTTATGCCGTCCCATAGCGTAAAGTCACATTACTTTTTTGATGCGATTGGAGGAATTTATTCGCAAAATGCGTTTCCATCTCCCATTATTCGCATCAACCCTTTTTCGCACAAGTCAAAAACCACCTCAAGCGAGCGTAAAATAATTTTTTGCGAATTAAGGGATTTCTATTCGAAATTTGGCATTTTCACTTGTTTCTCATGCGATACTTCAAAATGCGCTTTAAAATAGGGTGATGGAAACATAGCTATTGAAGACTTGGAAGTAAACGCCCACTGCTATGATTGGATAACAGTTTTTAATTAATAATTTTTAAATAGTTTACTAATTTTTACCAATGAAATACATTAAAATAAATTTTTTAATTTTTTAATTCAATTATTAAATTTTTTTTGTTTAATTTTTACCTCTGACTTTTTTTTTTTTTTTTTACAGCTCAAATCATCAGATGAGCTTCTCCATCATTTTACTTTAATTGTAAAATTTACTAAAAATAATATGATTTATCATTTTAATGTTTCAGATTTTTTTTATTTGTTATTTACTGCCCTTTGATTGAATGCTTTTAAAAGATTATTTTAATGTCTTCATAACTGTTTTGGCTTGCATGCACAGAAGTGACCAAACACATTTTTTATGTATGAATCATTACACTTTGGTACAAGATCTAATTTGGTTAATTTGTTTTGCAGACCTACTATAAACAAAAAGACTACTGGCGTTTCGTGTGGTGTGTGCGGTATCTCTGTCCTCATCTCGCCCGTCATGTAGAACAGGTATTTGTCAGTCCAGTGAATATTTCCCACATGAAGCTTGTTTTGACCTCGTCAGTGAGATTTTTGACTTTGTTGTCTCTCTCTTTGCAGTTCAGTCAGCTGGAGCCGGTGTTGAGCAGTGGCGTTCAGTGCTTTGGCGAGGGTTATAAAGCCGAGCGTTGGCTTTTACACAGCCTCCAAGGTCACATCTTATCTGCCCAGCTCAAACCACTGCTGCAGCATAAGACAAACACACAGAAATATTACAATGGTAACTTAGCATCCTCCAAACCTTTGGCACCTTTGCTTACGTATACGTTGTTCCTGGTGGTGTGTGTGTGATAAGAGTGTTGGCTGTCCTCTTCTGTAGACGGGGCCTTCCTGTTGAGTGAACCACACGTGTCTGCCATGTTCCAGTGTCTGGAGGCCGTAGAGCAGAACAACCCTCGACTGCTGGCTCTCATAGACACCGGCAGGGTGAGAAACTGGACCTCCTAGTAGAAGAAGTCTTTAGTTGATTCATACTAGTGAGGGGTTTTCTTCAGTATGATTCTAGAGCAGCGGTGGCGAACTCCGGTCCTGGAGAGCCGCAGCCCTGCAGAGTACAGCTCCAACCCTAAGTAAAACTCACCTGCCTGTAGCTTTCTAGTAACCCTTCAGACCTTGATTAGCTTGTTCAGGTGTGTTTGATTAGGGTTGAAGCAAAACTCGGCAGGGCTGCGGCTCTCCAGGACCGACGTTCGCCACCCCTGTTCTAGAGGATGTGATTAAGCTTAACAAAGAAGATAAATGTTTTTCCTGGTCTTTATTGAATGCATTGATCCACACAGTGTTGGAAACTCGTGTCTGAGACCCGGGCTTAAAGGAGTAGTTCAATAGTTTAAAGAAATACTAAAGTTGTAATGAAGTTATAATACTTAAGTACTAAAATTACTAACTGAATAAAGCTAAAAATGAAAGTAAAAAACTAACATAAATAACAGCAGCACATAATATTAAAAATAAAAAAGAAGCAAATTAAAATGAAAACTAAAAATAAACTAATTTAAAATATTAATCAGAACTATAAAAAAAGTATATAAATAATGCTAAAATAACACTGAATTTTAGCTATGGAAGCACAATATTAATACCATCACTGGCAAATTTTGAAAAGCACAGATTGCAGTCTTGCATGACTGAAAATCGCATTACCAAGATTTTGCTGGCTACCTTGGTTGGTTTAGTCCCGTCATGGATAAATAAATATGACACTAAAACCGCCAATAGGTGGCGGCAAGTCCCTGACTTAATGAGTGATTCATTAAATCGTTCATTCAAATGATTCGTTCAAAACAGCTGATTCGTTTAGAAACGAAGCAAGTGATTTATGAATGGATTTGTTCAAAAACAGATTAATTCAGGAACGAAACGCTGCAGTGTTGCTCTGAGAAGCACAACTGTTCAGCTCCGACTTTTGTTTGGAACTGTTTTCATTGGCCAAACAGAAAAAACCCCCCAGACAATTTTCTGTCTAAAATGTTAACTCGTTTCTTGAACTGTTGCGTAAAATTAATATCACATTTTCAATTGCGCTCACGTGCTAATGTTTAGGAAATTGGCACTGATGCTTGTGCGATATTACTTAAACTATATCATATCTTACAAATATAAAAAACAAAAACCCATACAGGGATGTTTTTTCTTTCATTACTTTAATTATAGGGACATTCTGACTGCTTTCTAATAGGCTTCATCACGCAGTCAATGCTTTTGGACCCTCACAATGTGTTTTTGTTTGTTTTTTGTAAAGTGAGTGACATACTCAATAATGTCAGCTTGCACATCGTTAAAACAACAGTTACGGTATTATCACAGACGATTAATATTGCAAATCCCTAGATTGGCTTGCGTTAAAAGGGCATGTGACCAGTTAGTGCTGTTTGCTTGCTAACTGATACTTCAGTGATATTATGTTATACTTAGTTTAAAAGACTTTTCATTTATAATTCTGGGATTAGGTGATTTTGTTGGGCTGCAGTGTGTAGTCTGGTTTTTGTTTTTGTCCATACACTCCAAGCATTGCCACACCTGACATGTGCAGCAGTGGCCCTGCATTGTAAAATGAATCTGCTTGAGCAAACTAAAAGAGGTTTTGAATGTCCTCCAAGTATTAGGAATTCATTTGTTTGGGTTTATGGAGGCCAAAGTCCATAGAAAGCCTTTGTAGTGAGCTGAGAAGGGTTTAATAAAATGAGGCCCTCAGAAATCTTTAGACCAGAAAACAGTTCCCTTCACAGACCTGACCTATTAAATGTGTATTTGTAGGATAATGACGGTCAGTGTTTGTGTTTGTCCATGATCTCATTCACCTGCCTGTTATCTTACTGAACGTCTGTCACAAATTCCTCTCTTCACAGAGCTTTCATTGTTCTTTCCAATAAACCTCTTTCCTATCAGATGAGACCATTGATGCGAGATCAATGTATCCAATAAAAAATAAACAGTAGTTTTGAGAAAGAAGCGTTTGCTTTTAGCCTCTGCTGATAGTTAAACTGCCAAAATCTTAATAGTTAGTTAGTAACTAGCTAACTAATATCCGTTTTTAAGAAGTCATGGTTTGGTTAGCATCGTCCTTTTAGCTTTTGGTAGACCCTAACTACACCAGCTTACTTATTTAACTTAGTTAAACTGTGGACATGTTTATAGCTAGTTAGATAGCTAACTAAATAACATCCAGTTTTCCGAGGGGGTCATGATTTGACTGGTTAGCGTCGTCCTTTTAGCCCCTGCTGGAAGATACTGTAACTACACCATCTTACTTCAATTTAACAGTTTAACTGTCAACATGTTTATAGCTAGCTAACTAACTAGCTAAATAACATCCAGTTTTTCAAGGGGTGATGGCTTGGCTTGTTAGCATAGCCCTTTTAGCCTCTGCTGGTAGATGCCATAAACACACTTTACCATCTTACTTCAATTTAAGTTAAACTTTCAACATTTGTGTAGCTAGCTAGTTAACTAGCTACATGCAGTTTTTCAAAAGGCCATTGTTTGGCTGGTTAGCGTAGATTATTTAGCCCCTGTTGCAAGATACCATAGCTACACCATTTTACTTCAATTCAACATAGTTAAACTGTCAACATGTTTATAGCTAGCTAGTTAGCTAGCTAACTAACTAGCTAACATCCAGTTTTCAAAAAGTCTTGGTTGACTGGTTAGCATAGCTTGTTTAGCCCATGTTGGTAGTTACCATAAACACACTATACCTAGCTAGCTAGTTAACTAGCTACATGCAGTTTTTCAAAAGGTTATTGTTTGGCTGGTTAGCATAGATTATTTAGCCCCTGCCAGAAGATATCATTACTACACCATCTTAATTCAATTTAAGTTAAACTGTCAACATGTGTCCAGCTAGTTAGCTAGCTAACTAACTACATAACATCTAGTTTGACTGGTTAACATAGCTTGTTTAGCCCCCTGTTGGTAGATAACATAACTACACCATTTTCAATATAAGTTAGTTAAAATGTCAACACATTAATAGCTAGTTAGCCAGTTAAATAACATCCAGTTTTTCAAAGGGTCATTGTTTGGCTGTTTAGCATTGCCCTTTTAGCCTTTGTTGGTAGATGCCATTAATACACCCATCTTCAATTTAAAGGGGTCATATGATGCGATTTAAATTTTTCCTTTCTCTTTGGAGTGTTACAAGCTCTTGGTGCATAAAGAAGATCTGTAAAGTTGCAAAGACTAAAGTCTCAAATCCAAAGAGATATTCTTTATAAAAGTTTAGAGTCAGCCACACCTACCTAAAACGCCTCATTCTAACACGTATTGTTGACGCTGTAGCCATGTCGTGAAGGCGCTGTGTTTTTCGTTGTGAAAGCGAAACTACTTTGTTTGGTCTTCCAAAAGAGGACACGACTACAAATCAGTGGTTAAGTTGTATTTACAACACTGTTCCAGAACAGTTTAACCCAAATATCCAGATGTGTGCAGCACATTTTATGGAGGACTGTTTACTGATCCTGGGAGAGTAACGTTAGACTACAATGCCGGCAGTTCTGACTCACAGTCTGTAAGTACGTTTTCATTTAAAGGATTGGCCACTGATGATTCCAACGCGAGTTTTGGGCAGTAGAGTAGCACTTGTTGTTTGTCATTTCTCTGATCACAAATGCAGACATGGTTTTATGTTTATGCACAATGCAATCGCAACGCGTAAAAAGACAGTATATGTCATTATAATCAGTAATTATGTCCCCACTGGATGCAACAAATGCCTCGTTTGTAATGGGTTTTAATGTTTTTGTCTCGTCGCTCCGGCCGGGACACGGCATCATAGTATGGTGAGGGGCGTAACATTTCCGTTTCACGCTTGAGGTATTCGGCCAATCACAACGCACTGGATAGCTGGCCAATCAGAGCACACCTCGCTTTTTCAGACTGATGAGCTTTGTAAAAATCGACGCGTTTCAAAAAGGCGGGGCATAGAGGAGAAACAATAATGTACAGTATGTGGAAAATAATGTGTTTTTTTAACTTCAAACCGCATAAACACATTTCATTACACCAAATACACAAAATAATGTTTTTTTTTTAGCAGCATCATATGACCCCTTTAAGTTAAACTGTCAACATGTGTCTAGCTAGTTAACTAATTAGTTACATAACATCCAGTTTTTCAAAAGGTCATGGTTTGGCTCGTTAGCAAAGCCCTTTTAGCCTCTGCTGGTAGATATTATAACTACATCATCTTATTTCAATGTAGCCATGTATTTCTACATGCGGATATGTAAACTCCTTCTGTCTCTTGTGTTTTTCAAGCTTTCACATGTGAAAGAGTCTCCGTTTGGTTTGCTGAAGAGTCAGAGTTTGTGTTTGCTGCCCGGGGCCACAGGAAGTTGGAGGCCTGCGGACAATTCGCAGTCCCGGCGGCTCACCACGTCCCAGAGCTGCCTTACAGAGCTTCCCAACACCCCACTCTCCAAGAGCAGCTCAGGTCAGCAGGTTTCAGAGAACAACAGGCCTCTCTGTGGCTCCATTATCACACTAAATGCTTGCCTTGTTTACACACAAAATGTCTTGGACAGAAAACAAGGTGGGCAGTGAGCAATGCCTGCGGTGTAGAAATGTGACTGTTCCTCAGTATCACAGTGCATCTCTTTGTTTGTCTTTAAGATGACGCTCCGTCCAGCAGTACTCAGGGAGCTCCATGGCTCCATAGAGGCAACCGAGACACAGGAGTCCCCCAGATCTCCTTCACTAAGCCCGCCTCACCTGCTCCGCCCGAGATCCGGGATTGTGTGGAAGCGGATCTGGATGACGGCCCGGAGTACCTGGCTATCGGTAATCTGGGGAAGCACAAACGGCGCGACTCGTCCAGCTCCACTCAGAGCAGTGAACACATGGGGACTCAGGGCAACACCCACACTCCTTCGGCTCCGCCCCCACAGCGCCGCTGCTCCTTCTCAGAGGCTCAGAGAACCACAGGGCGGGGCTCGAGGGGCCACATCCGCTCTCTGTCCGACACCGACGTCACACAGAAGCAGAAAAATGGTGCGTACAAACAGTTCTCTAGAACACAAGCCTTGTTCAAAACTAACGAGAAGTAGCGAAACTACTAACGAAACAACATTAACAACACATAACACAATAGTACGTTTTTATTTGTTGAACTGTGTTATTAAATCAATCTCACATTTCCGGTTAAAAATTTTAACATTTATTAGTGTAAAAGCCTGTTCACGCCAAGGACATTAACTATAAGGATAACGCAAGATAATCATACTAATTGTGTGAGAATAACGACATCCACACCACAGCTATATCGATTACGGCACAGAGGAATTATATGGTTGAAATCAGTTTCAGAACAATATTCATTTTATTATTGAAAGATAAAAACATTGACATCAAATCAGAATCCACCCGACTTTAAAAAAAGCTTGAGCTCAGTATCTTTAAAAAACCTTTAAACCTACCCATCCCAGACCTTAACAAAATCACACCTCAATAGCAGCAAAAGTGTTGTGCATTAACACAAGCTTTTAATCATTGTATAATTTCTGTTAAAATCATTTGTAGATTAAGTAGAGCATGATCATATGAACTGAAAGTTTAATGACATTTGTAAGCATTTTCTAGTTTACTTAAAAGAATGATCTCTCAATCATTAGGTAATGTTTAGTAAGTTCATTAGTAAACATTAACAAGCACATTATCTCATATTTCATATTTCTGAATATATATTAATGATCTGTTAAACATTATATATTGTTTGTTAATGGTTAATGAAGGTTATTATAAAGTGTTACCGTTTGATTATAACAAAATCAAAATCAATCCTATTTCTTGATATTTTAAAAACTGCAACATTATATCAAAATGTAAAAAAAGCACAAAAACGTTTAGCAATTTTACAAAAATAAAACCACCTTTGTTCATGAATCATTCAGTTTCTGATTGATAAAATCAAGTACTGCTCTACTTTTTTTTATTTTTCTGTCATGTTTCACTTAAAAATACATCATATTATGAAAGTCAAATTGTTGAGAATACTTCTTAAATTATCTATAATGTTAACTAGCTTAGATTTTACTAGCTAGATTTTAATTCACAAATATGGCTTTCCCATACACATATGCAAATAAGCATGTAAACAGATCTCCAAACCTTGCTTCTAGCTGTTGTACCTCTTGTGCTCTTTGGTCTTGCTGTGGATCAGGGGGATATTTTCTCTGCTTCAACTCTATTCTTTCTCTTTGTCTTCTCTGTATGGAAAGGAGGGAATCACAGGAAAATCACCATTATTATCGAGGACCCCGTCGCAGGTTTGCAGTGCCGTGGTGCTGCATCTCGTCCACCCCTCCATTTCTGTCACCCTTGCATGATTCACTTTTGCCGCTCTTTATTTTGTTTTGCTTTTTTTCTTCAGCTTTCGGCATCGTTTTCAAGCTGTTGCACAACATTCCTGTCTTGTTCCATTGCGCTAGGTTCTTATTTCTATGTAGAGAAATTTTACACCGTTGTGCCTGGAAAGTTTTGAACATTTAATTTTCGTAGTTTCCTTTAATTTTAATTTTTTTTTCTTTCTTTCCTTCTTTTTTTTTTGGCCATTGTTTTATCAGTTATAAACATTCAACCACTATATGTTGTGTGGATCTACATTTTCATCAGTGTTTATCATGGATCCGATCCTGCAATCAGGAAGAAGCTAGGGATGCTCATTTTAACCGGTTAACCGTTAACCGACCGTAAGAATTTTGACCGATTAATACAATCAGTTAAACGGTTTAAAAAGTCATGTATTTATTTTTTTCAGTAATTTATCAAAATATTTTAAAAGGTTTGCTGCATGGTTAAAATAGCCTACTCTACGCGTATAAAAAAAACGTAAGTCGCGTATAAGTAGCATTTTATTAGGCTATTTCATTCAGAAATAGGCCTAATGCCGATGCGAAATGTTTACAAACATTATAATAAACACTGTAAACATAGCTAGGCTATTTTAGTTCCCCTCACTCCACAACAAATCCTTTCAATTAACAGTATTTAGAAAAGAACAAGAATTAAAAATATAAGAAACTATAGCTA